AACAGAGAAGGGTCCGATTCAGCATCAGGTTTCTGGGTTGGAGCAGCAAAACAACCCGCGCGAAAAAATAGGCAACAAATTAAGGTCGCCAAATTGTTTGCTCCATTGACAATGCACATAGTTTCAAGCGCATGGAATCGAGACTTTTTTTTCCTAGTGGAACGCGCTTGTGCTGGACGAAGGGTCCGGATTGAAGAGAAGAAAGAGTATCTGAACCGTGGGCGCTCAGCCAGCCCCACACACTTCTCTACAGGGACCATCCACACCACACCTATGTGAAATAACCTCAATAACGGGTGTTAAATCAATATCTAACAGCTAGGGGGGAAATACAGATTGCGGCGGAGGAGAAGCTGAGCTTGGGGTTCTTCGTCGCATCCCCAGTCAACGACAAACGCTCGGATAAATGCCCAGCGGCTTCTTCGGAATACTTTTCAAGGAAAAGGTACAAATTAAACTAAAATCAAACATAATATAGTATAAAATTTGAATTGTATCACTTGGTGGTGGGGGTTACGGAATTGCTCTGGGCAGAATGAGGACTGGTGCCAGCCAGCAAGGCAAGGATTGAGACCGCCGCCAGTGCATCCCCAACGCTCACACCGTCGAGGATCTACTTCGAGTACTCGTTCTCCCTTCTTTGAAAGTCCGTGTATATTTTAGAATACCTTAGGTGTCTCACGCCCACACATACTTCTCTGGATCTCGAGAATGGTTGGTCTCAAGCTCCTGTCGTTGGCGCTCGCCACCATTTTCTCGGTGGGCACCAACAGGGCAAGCGCAGCTGGCAGTGTAGCCACAGCCAGTAAGTCTTTTGAAACAATTTTCGCAAATCTAAGTCATAGAGAAAGTAACGCGAAAAGACGTCGAAATTGTGCACGGTTGTGTTGGGCGGGCGTATGCAGACAAGGCAGACAGGGTGGATTGCTCGGAGTCAATGAACGCGGCCCGCAAACTTGTCGGCTTCGCCGACCTCACACTGGGAGAGGAAGGAAACGAAAAACTCCCAATAGACCCCGCTGCTAAGGCCCGCACTGAGACCGTAGCCGCTTACGTGAAGTCAGTGTGCACGGCGTTAAAAAGTGTAAGTCGCGGTACTAAATTCCTTGANCCGTAGCCGCTTACGTGAAGTCAGTGTGCACGGCGTTAAAAAGTGTAAGTCGCGGTACTAAATTCCTTGAACCGTCAGTCTTCTTGAATGGGTTTCGATACCACGACTTACGCACTGAAACACATTAATATCTGTACATCCCAAGTTAAATATACTCCTTTCCATTTCATAACTTGTTGTGGATGCGCTGTCTCCGCCGAACGAGCAGAATGAAGCGTCTCCTCCAGGCGACCTCACTGGCACGTACGCTTACGCTGTTCAAGAAGGAACCAGTGCTAACTGCGAAGCCGCAGTGGACTACTGGAAGGCAGCCCTATCCAATTTCGACGGTCTGCCTCCTCAATACACAGCAGAAACCAAACTGTACAAAACCCCTCAAAATGTATCCTTCATTTCCCTATTCAACCCGAATGAAAACCCGAAAGTGGACTGCGCATACTTCACTTGTCCAGCACAACAGGATGAACCGAACGAGCCAGACGGCGCTAGTGTCCGCGAGAAAGATTCAGAGCTGGAAGGTGAGGGTGAGAGCACGACGGACAAAGAAGTGAAGGCTCTTCTTTGCGTCACCACGCCGAATGCCCTGACGACCAACAAAGCCCCATACACGTAAGTTGAATGCATGTGTGAACTTCATCTANCACGCCGAATGCCCTGACGACCAACAAAGCCCCATACACGTAAGTTGAATGCATGTGTGAACTTCATCTAGCGTTGATGGCTTCATGTCAGCTCAGAGCTATAATGCATGCTTGGACGGTCTTTCATCCTTGGCTTCGCTGCTGCAGCAGTTGACGTTGCAGCAGTTGACGTTCTACTCCTTTGAGCGCTCAGTCGATTTCCTTCGAGAGTTACATGTGTGTATCAGGCAAGACCAATGGGATCAGATCAACGCTGGGCTCAAAAAAAACTCTGCACCAGCATTGCCTACGTTCCTTGGCTTTGCTGCTGCAGCAGTTGGCGTTGTTCTCTTTTGAGCGCTCTGTGGATTTATTTCCACCTTGCACTCAACCTATGGTTCGCTTAATGAAGAATCTGTTTAGCGCAAGCAATCGTTAGACATGGAGTCTAACGAAGGCTTCAAGGCATTCTGAGCTAAAAGGCTCTGGTTAGGGAAACTTTCTGACCCATGCCTGTACAGTCGTGTAGGGAGCCGGGTGCTCCTAACCGCACATTTAATCAGGCTTTTTATAGGAATTCAAGGACATACAATGCATATTAAAATACAATACTGATTAAAGCAATGGAACACACCATATCTAGCTAAGCTAGTTGAACGTCCTGGTACGTTTTTACAATAGAGCATGAACGGATCCTTTGATCCATATCACATCGCTGCCACTTCGCAGTCTAAACCGTAGTCAGCAGGGTTTCCAGGGGAGGTACAGCTACCAAATTTATAGCTCATGCTTGGGGTGGCGAAATTCCCAAAAGGTACATTCTAGTGCGTTGAACAAACGCCTTAGCTTGAAGGTTTCCGAGCGCTTGTTAGGCATCACATTGCCCCTTAAGCCCTAAACTATCAGTGCCTGCTTTATTCGCCCATAGAATAGCCTTCACTATTGCCTGCTAAGAATGATTACAATGCTAAATATGCTGAAGGTAGCAGAAGAGGGCTGCAACATTCGTGGCAGAGCGCTGAAGCTCCA